ACATACATTATAGACATAGCCATTCCAAACACTCACAATGTACAAAACACATGCACTGAAAAAATTAGCAAGTACACAGAACTTGCCCAGGAAATAAGGCATCTGTGGAGGATGGATAGGGTAGTTATTGTACCTGTTGTTCTCTCCTGTACAGGTGTGATACCACACATGCTACACAAAAGCCTGGGAACATTACAATTGAGTAGAAATACATACATCACACTACAGAAGGCCGCTATATTGAATACATGCCATATTGTTAGGAAATTCCTTAATACAGACACTGACACACACATTTAATTTTAGTTTTGTTTTGGTTGCTATGCCTTGACTCTGGTCCGGCATAGTACACAGCCACCGGTTTAAACCGAGTATTACCTACTAAACCCAACATAATAATAATAATATATATATATATATATAACAGGCCTTTATGAATATAACCAGGCTTTAACATTTTCGAGAAAAATACTAGACTACAGATCTAAAACTTTGTTACATTTGCAATTGTTTCTAACTAGTGACCTGTTACACTAATTAAATGTAACGTGCTCGTTTCCACTTCTGGCAATTTGCTTAAATCGTGGAAGAGAGATCTAGATACTAATGTAACGGATGCGCTCATATTTATTGTAAGTCCCATTCTTTTACTTTGTAGTTCACAGACTAAGGTGGATGACGGTAATCCGAACAGAGAATCCTCACTCTTTGACATACTGATTCTGGCTAATAGGATTGTATCGTGTGCTTCATCACTTAAATGTTCTATGTTGCGCAAATGGTCTCCAGTTTTAACTGAAATAATTCTATCGCCACAATTCCATTTCGAATTATCCATACTCCCTTCCCTTTGATTATGTACTTTTTTGAGGTTTTCATTTGGAGCAGGTAAGGCTAAACATTTGCTGTCAGTCATGCTGATTGGTGTTGGCTAGGTCGCAAAACTCCTTTCGGGCCAATCCTGGCCATTATGCGCCAATAATACGGCAATTGTTCCTAATTGTAATTGCTTTTTTTGTTCAAGTTGCCTATACTGTGCCTGACAAAAAGATGCATGACTCACATAAAACAGACAGAATGGGAGCAGAAAAGGGGCTATTTGAGTCTGGCATCTCAACACAGACAGATCACGATAATTAATTTCTTGCCATACCTGATATGGCTGGATGAAATGTAAGCGTTTTTCTGTTTCTAGCTGTCCATGGGCTGGAAATTCTGTATGTGGTATTGCCAAAAGAGTGTTTGATATAATATGTCGCGGGAAGTTGTCTGGTCGATTGGTCTTATAAAATTCGCAGGTGATGGTTGATGCTGCCAGCTCAAATAATTTTGCACTTTTACCTTTTCGAAATTTGGTCTCGTTGTAGATTGAGGTGTTAACTTAAATTGTATGCCTACTCACAAGGATTATTTACTGGTCCTTATGAGGACTTATTCTCTATTTTTATTTCCAATGTTTCAAGTTGCTGCGTAACCTGAATGATTTTAGTATCAAGCGCGGGTTCTTGGTTAACATTTTTGTTTTCTCCTTTTGGTGCATTATTGTTCTCTCTGCCTCTTCTATGCTTGCAATAAAATTTCTATTTTATCCATCAACTGTTCAATTGTCTCTTCCCTGATCGCTACCTTCAACGCTTCTGAAAATGTGGTAGTATCCTGCGACATAAAGTTTCGCCTAATTTTTTCGTTCAGCCCACGCACAAACTGGACACAGCTTTTTGTCCAGCTTCCATTGCGGACATTGTCTTATGAGGGCGTGCTTCTGTTCTGTGAATTTTGTTTGTTGAATGGTTGTTGCATTGGATGAAGTTTGAAGCCTGATCGCAAATTCCTGAACCATTTCCCACATTGCTGGATGCAAGCATGGAATTTTTGCATTTGCATTAAATATGGCTCGCAGTAAAATCACTCCATCATTAAGTGTTTAAAGTCGTCGTATTTAATCAAGCTTTTTGTCTGCATATCCCTCCAGTCAAATCTCGGGTAACACGTGCCAGTTTACATTTTGTAATGATCAGGAACTGTAGGAGATCCATCCGGCCAGACTAGTTACTTTGTTTAAGGAATTGAAAAAGTTAGTAATGCACCCGCTCTCACCAGAAAAGATCGGAATCATCTTTCCAAACATTGCGATTGTGCCTCCGGTTACTTCCTGCGTTCGTAGTGGGGCACCTGTCTCTGTAGCCATGTTCTGATCCACTTTTCTTTCTCACCCCAATAATTTTTGAATTGGCTTCCTCAGAATCCTGGAAAACAGAAATACTATTTTTAACCACCAGTCTGATTTGGGTTTAGCAATTCCACTTAACTGACACCACTGTAAGGTTGCTGACAGAAGTGACAAATACGCGAAGTTGTCGAGGATCAAGAAAATTGTATGTGGGTATGTGGGAGTGACAACTTGCATGGAGACAGGGGTCATCTATTACACCATTTAATAAAATATAAAAACTTTCTTACAACAATTTCTTGCAGTAAGAAATATCTCTGCTCAAAGAGCAAAATGTAAGTTCACAGTAACAGTTTGAAAGTTCAAGATCATGATGTTTTCTTGGGTACTTTGTTATCAACATGGAACTTGCTGACCCCGGGATATACAGCACGGTTTCTGGTGCTTTCCTTTGTCAGCTAGGTGAATTGAAATAAAAGTGGATGACACAGCTAACAAGGGATGGCTCTGGTGATGTCTGCACTTTTTCTCAGTCAACTCTTCCAGAAGCACCCACATTGGAGTTAACAGAACAACAATCCATGAACCTCGCAGCCTTGAATCACGTGACATTTTACATCTGTTTAAAGGGTGCGTGAGAGGTCACCTTCTCGACTTAAGAGGACTTCTCTCTAACTCACTTTCCCGTGACTTTGGCACTTTCTACACAATTCATCGTTTAAAAATCCAAGAAAAACTTTCATTGTTTTAACGAGACATTTAATTCTTTCTATTTAGGTTAGAAAAGAAGGCTTTTAAAATCTCGTTTAATTACCTCCCTTCAGACTTCTAAGTCAACCTTGGTCCGGATCCCCACACATCCAGTAGATGATTTAAGACTACTACTGATTTGATCATCTAGTAGATGATACACTTTTGCCTATTATTGCTGTATGGTAGATGTCATCTTCCAAATAGCAATAATAGGAAAAACTGTTTATGCCCATTGTTAACGGTAAAGGCACATTTTTGAATGGAAACTCGAGTATTCTACAAGTTTCATTCTATGTTTAATAACAATTTTTAAACAGCATCTTCATTTCCATCTTGTTAAATTGTTTTCTACCTGTCTTCTGTTGTATTTTCCTTGACAAATGCATCACCTATAAAAGCTTCAGCCACGATGTAAGAGATAACAAAAATGTTCAAACTTGAACATTCAAAGCTGAATTATGAAAATGTAGCTTAAATTTTCATTTAAATCATTTTATTGATTTACGAAAATGTTCTACCAATTGACTATCTTATATATTTCAACATTACTGAATGGTATTTTTTTTTCAATGGATTTAAGTAGTGTTATTGTATTTCTGCTTGTTAAACAAATATATAATTCAGTAAATTAATATTTATTTTCTGTCTAATTTTCAGGTTGTATAACAAACGGATCTATACAAAAAATGTAAATAATGTTGAAAATCTGAAATTTAATTCAACAATATTTAACAATAGTGAAGATCAAGGTTTATATTATAGTGACAAATATAATGTATATGTTTACTTTGGACTAATATGTGTAGTATTATTTACGATGATACTTTCTGGATTACTATTGTATAATTTTTTCATTGCTGCATCTTTGAAGCTGCACAAGAATATGTTTCAATGTATTATTCGAACTCCAATTTCATTTTTGGATAAAATTCCTGTTGGTATGTAAAATTCATGGATTATTAATTTTTTAAAATAATTTTATAATAAATTAAAGAATGCTCAATTTGATTTAAAAATGAAATACAGTACACTCCCGAAAACTCGGTACTCGATAACCCGACACTCCGGATAACTCAGCCAACCCTGGCAGGGCAAAAAAAATCCTTACTGTAGTTAATTAATTTCCATTATAGACAGCTTTATGCCTCATAAAGTATTTTTCTGGGTCTTTCTTATCAGGTAAATTACTGTACACAGTGTATTTATTAATTTTCATTTTTATGTAGTAATGGCTCTACCTTCATAAAGGCCTTCATAAAGGCATTTGGGCAGTGTATTCTTTGTTGTATTCTCAAGCAAACAATACATACAGGTATAGTACAGTATTTTCTGAAGACTCCACACTCGTACTTATTTTTTTAACGCCATTCCTGATAACCCGGAATTGTTACAAACTCGACCACCCTTCGGTCCACATTAAGCCGAGTTTTCGAGGCTCTATTTCTAAAATACTTTCTGTATTTGGATAAAATACTGAAAGTATTTTATCCAAATATAAGATAAAATACTGAATAATACTGATAAAATATAAGATAAAATACTGTAAGTATTTTATCTTATATTCTTGGTGATCATGAAACAATATATTAAGTCTTTGGATAAAATACTTTCGGTATTTTATTTAAAGACTTAATATATTGTTTTATGATCACGAAGAATATAATTTAGCTGTGAATAATATATGCATTATTTATTCCTTTTTCTGATGTAATATACGAAATCAGATAGTAATAAGAATATATGTGTTAGAATGCAACAAAAATTCAGAAAAAGAACAAAAGCCATTTTCAGTAATAAGATGTGATATGCAAGCGATGTTGGATATGAATGCAAAGGAAGTTTAGGAAAAGCATTTTTCAAAACCTATTGAAAAACCTATTTTTCAAAATTCTATTGAAATCCTGTTAAACTGTATTTGGAAGATATGTGAGATCTTGTACTGCATTTTGTTTCATAAGCCTAAGTTATTTACATAATTACAGCTTCATTGCTCTATTTAAATATTTTACGAACATAACTATGTACATTGTAAAAATCTTCAGGTATGAAAAACCTAAAAAATGTCAAGTTAAGAACTGTAAATCATACAGATATGCTATGTTGTATATGTTGTATAATTAATAATTTTAATCGAATACATAAATTTTACATAAGTTTTTAATTTAAATAATATCTGTTATTCTGATATTTTTAGGAAATGTTCTAAATCGATTTTCGAAGGATGTGAATAACGTAGATGACATTTTACCTAACAATGCTCACCAATTGTTGAAAGTAAGTTTACATAATTTTATATATTTAAATTTGTGTAAAATGAATCTTAAATAATAAACATCTCAGCGGGATATGCAGTTACTAAACTGTATTTAGGAATTTCATAGCCTGTATTTTGTTACAGCATCGTGAAAATCAGCAAATGAAGCATGCAGTGTATGCTACTTTTTATCCTAATCACTGAGAATTGATGCATTTATCCCAGCCATTAATAATATTTTGTAAAATCTTGTCAGCAACACTGTATCGAAATTTTTAAGTTTTGGATAACATCTCCCACTACGTCATTGATATTAACTTTTTTACCGATACAAATACAAATTGGAAAAACATTAGGATAAGACTGGAGTGTTCATGAACAAGAATCTTTTTATCGTGTTTCTGAAGCTGGACATTGGCGTAACTTTTTTGGAATGAAATTGTTGCACGGTAATTTATCTCTGTTCGTCAACCTTCTTTTTCGTTAGATTTTGCGAATTTCGGTTGGATTTTCATTATTATTATGCAAAACTGGAATGACTTCCACAGCTAATCTGCGCTATGTTTCAATCAGAACCAATAAATTGCAGCTGACTCTTCACATGTACATTAAATTCATGACAGTGCCAATCTTTAAATACAGGTAACCCCCGTATAACACGGTAGTTACGTTCCAAAAAATTGCCGTGTTATGCGAATCCGTGTTATACGAAACAAAGAACTAATACGAAAAGGAGGGTTAGGTTCCAAAAATTAAAAAACATGCTAGTATATTTTCATAATTAAGATAAATATCTTCATTAAAATTTTTTAAGTGATACATATTAATATAAATTAAACAATGTTTTCTTCGTCATCACTAAAAACACTATTAATTAACCGNTCGTTGCCTTCTCAAACAACGTCTTTCGGCTCTTTCTAACTCTTCGATAGCGATAAGAATTGCGTATCCGTCAGCCATTTTTACTTTCGTGTAGCGATCTCACATGCTCGACTCAACGTGAGTAGCAACTCGCATGGTGAGATGGGAAAGCACGTGAGTTAGAACTCGAGACTACCAATTTGACGTCAGTGTGTGAGATAGTACCACGTGACACCTTCAACACGTTGGGAGTTGTAACACGAAAAACTCGAGACTAAGGCCCCTGGGAAAGAATACAATAAAAAGAACTTTCGTCAGAACTCGATGCATCTTAACGGACAAAATATCCAATTCGGTCGATATTCACTCCTCCCCCTTGTTTACCTTTATAAATAATGCATTGTTTATCGTCGTATCTACAATTCTAACGACGCGCTTAAATATTTTCTAAACCCGACACAGATATACCGTATTTACTCGGATATAAGACCAGATTTTTATTCATTTTTCACCGCTTGAAAAACCCGGGTCGTCCTATACGCGCCAACGAAGGATTCTTGGCGTTTTTGCAATAATTTCTGCCAACCGCCTATACCCGGCGCTGTCATTATAGGTCTACATTTATCGTAAGTTGGCACCTACCGTAAACAAGTTAAGACACACATTCCATTGTTTGTTGGTTTAATCCTGCACGCGTTGGCAGAAAAGATCTTCTCGTTATTTATAAAAATATTGATGAAATACGGTCACTCAGCAACGATTATAAATGTAGTTGTTTTCTATTAGTTAAATTGTTATTTTTAATGAATATTAGGGCATTCCGAATCATCTATACTAATATTATAAAGAGGTCATGTTTGTAAGTAAGTAAGTTTGTATGCAGCGGGTAATCTCCGAAACTACTCGTCCGATTTCAAAAATTCTTTCACCAATATTTAGAATGGAACCTCGGGGTGGACATAGGCTGTATATTATTCCGGTAAACATTCGTATAAATTAAAATATATCATCCGGGGTTAAAGCTTTTATGTCCAACAGATGGCGCTAAGAGTACGACGCCCTAAGTTTGGTTTTCTGTGAAAACGAACTAAAGCGGATCATCATCTATCTACTAGTAGCCCGGGACGCCCCCTAGTGGACGTTCCAGCAGCATTACGAATTCCTGAGGCATGTTTAATGCACTTAATATATGAAAGTTGTGTGCGCTTAATGTTTAAAAGTTTGATGCAGTTAATATATATAAATGTATACAATTCTTCATCTTAGAAACTAAACTTAAAATATCAATACACAAACAGCCAACAGTATTTGTACGTGAGAAAGTGAATCTATTCTTTACTCAAAATTGTTCAAATAAATAGAATATGATTAAAAAATCAAGTATAAATATATACAAATGTTCATGTTAAAAAGTAATGTTAACAGATCAATACACAGCAAATAGTATTTCTGTATTACAGACTGAAGATATTCTTTAGCTGTGTTCTGTATTCCATCATTTATCCCATCATAAAACTTCTGTATACACAACATTGTTGGTAAAAAAAGTATAATTATTTGGAATCAATTTGCCTTGTTGTGACATTTTGTCTTCTGTGTCGTTTTGCTTCTGCCTGCCTGTGCAACATTGCAGATCTGAGCTCATGAGTTTCATTCTGCAAGCCTCCACGTGTTGATTGTGCTATTCTCTGTAATGTTTCCTGCGCACGTCTCTCCCTTTGTNATAAACTAGTAGCCTGGGACGCCCCCTAGTGGGCGTTATTTACAAATTGCCATTACCTGTTGAATGGGTTAATAGATATTAAAATATTACCTTATATTACCTTAACTATTTCAAACCTTATCGTCTTACGTAGTGATTCAAACCTATCCGGTTTTTCGTTATTCGCCCCCTAGTGAACATTACAGGCATTCCGTGACAATAATAAATTCCTATTACAAATATACTGAATTATTTATATTGTTATATTGACCAAATAATAATTTATTGGCCAAATGAATAATAATAATTTATATTGTTAATTTAATTTGAATGTTTGAAATATGACACACGATAGGGGCGCCTCTAGTGTCCGTTATCAAACGGTTACGGGACGGACACCTGTTGAATGGGTTATATATATAGATATGAATAAAAATGTAATGTTCGTTCGTTCCTACCGATTCCTTTCAAATTTTGACACAACGCCGCATTCGAATACGCGCGTGTTTTTATATAATATACGTATCGAAATTCAACCCCACTGAAGGGAGACGGTTAGTATTAAGGCTTACCGTAAAGAACTCCGCTTCTATTTACACTATTTTAGATGCGGGTTTTTGCGTTTTTGATTGCGTTTTAATAGGGTACATCAACAGAATGTACACTAAGAAGAAATTTTTGGAAAAATCCCCCCACGGGTGGTGGGGTCTGGTAGTTAAAAATAAACTCTTTCCGATGACGCGATAATGTTTTGGTTTTGTTTTCAATTCATCGCGTATTAAGGCAAACGCGGTCGTTTGCCTTAATACGTGCATTTGATAATATTCTATGATTAACGAAATAAAATTAGAATTGTATTAATAAATAGAATTTTTTTTCTTTTCGTCTCTAAAGTCACACCTCGTCCTATACGCCAGATCGTCTTATATCCGAGTAAATACGGTATTTCATTCATTTCATTTATCTTTAATAACATAACATGAGTTATATCCCCTGATATCGCAATGCATAATCAGGGATTGTTTACAATAAGTAAATACGGCATATATTTCTGTGGAGTGGTTAAAATAGCATTTAACCACTCGGTAAAAGAATTAACGAAATACTCGTTATATCGCTTACCGTAATCCGCCGTCTTGTCCGAACACTGAAAAATCGCATCTTTAAAATAACACTTCGTTAACGACGGTTGATGAATTACTTTCAATTATAAAGGCCTTATCGGCAACGGGATATTAACTATTTTGTTGTTTTCCGCAGTTTAGAATCTTTTATCCATCGAGTTCTTTGCAACCGGGAATACGCGTAAAGCGGTTTATACAGCAATTCGTTCATTTTTATAAAGTTGCGTGAAGAGCGGACTTTTGGAAAACGCGAGGACGAGGAGAAAAAGAATCGGGAAGGGGAGAAGAGAAAGGGAAGCATTTTGGGCGGGTGAACGAGAAAGGATATAGAGTAGATATTGTGTAATTTTGTGGATTAAGTGTCGACAGTCAATCGACAACGCTTTAATTAGTGTACTAATCAACAAAACAAAACAGAGTTTAAACAAACAAACGTTTTGCTGGCTTAAACTCCTAAGTAGGTGTTGGCCGAGGAAATAGTTGTGAAATATTTGCCATTTCTTATGTAATAGACTGTCTTTTCGAATATTTCGTGCCTAAACATCACCCATTACTTTTGGTTAAGCTTAATGCCAAATCGTAAATACGTAAGGCAATTTGTTGGTCCGATAATCCTTCTATCGTTTTTTCTCCCACAAAACTTTGAGGTCTTCGATCTAAAGACTCGCGCGACTTTAATTTATATATATTTTAAGTGGAGAGAGATTACAAAGCGGTATAACGAATTATAATTATCTAAAGTAGAGTGTAATTAAACAATGTCGATGCGGCAGAGTTTTACTTTTTAACGAGGAAGAATCGATGAGAGGTTTACTCCGGTTAATTAATACTTTCCTCCTCCCTTCTCTGGTCCGATTCTCTTCTGTAAAAATCTCCGAAAGGCGAAAAGCTCTTTCCCAGCCGCTTAACCCATTTTTTTAATACCCGCGTTAAAGCGCTGCCGCCATTGGTCGACCAATAAATTACCATAGCCGAGAGTTTGAACTTGGACCCATCGTTATTCGACGCACGGTCGACCAACTGTTTGATAAAAACTTATCAATCGATAACTTATACAGAAAAATATTGGAATGGATCGATAAAACGCGGGTTTTCGCCAATGGATCCATCCCAGATATGTCGGGCCCTGTTCTCGCCATCCTGTCGCCTCCGTTGTGGGCCCGGTCGAACCCGAGATGAATTTGAAAAAGACTTTTTAGTACCCATAAGGTCTTCGACCTTTAACACTTATTTCTGTACGCTACGCGATAGAACTGTTTAAGGGAGGGAAGAGATCGAGACGTTATATACGTAGACTTTATTAAGTGTCATTCTCTCTTTCTCTCTCTCTCTAGCCCAAGACAGAGGGAATGGGTGAAAGTCCTGGATGAGGCCAAGGTCTTTCGAGGACTATGAGAGTCCTCGAAGGACCTTGGCCTCATCCAGGATTTTCACCCATTCCCTCTGTCTTGGGCTTTCTTTC